GCAGGGGGGGAGGGGGGGGTACTCATGTAAACGCACGCCGTAGTCGTTGACCTCGCATCCCCTACACGGAGTGATATGCCGCCGGCCTGGGCTACGTTTCACAAGGACGGACAACATCATCCTTGCGTTTGGGGGTCAAAGATTGGCCACAGATCGCATCGAAAACATGATAACAGCTAGAACGGCAACACCGACGGCGACAATAACAACAACGATATTCCTTGCGCGGGGGGGCCAACAAGTGCATGCAAAAAACATGAACATGTAGCTACAACGGCAACACCTACGGCGAAAATAAACAACAACACGAGGACAACAACAACAACCGCACGCTTGCACACACCTGAGGGTAGTTGAACACCCGCGGGTCAAGGAAATACTCCCTCCCAGCAAGCTTACGCGCAAGACCGTCGATGGCGGCGCCCTCATCAGGGTCGTCCTCCATAAGGGCAGAGGCCATGGTCGCAAGAAGACCCAAACGTGGCGCACCATCCTCGTCCAGGCCCTAAGTGCCAATCCAAATTCCGTGAGCGGTGGGGGGGCCAGAGAACAAGGAAGACCAAGTCGTTTTGATCACCGGTTGTAATCTCATTCTCTTGAGTTGGACAACCACAAGTTTCGCTTTTTCGCTCACGGGAAGGACTGTTGCTCTTTCCTGTTCCCGAGAACGTTCTCGAGAACAAGGTGGCCGCCTTTCTCTTTTCATCCGCGCTTGGATGCAGACGTCTACGGTGATCCACAGTGAAGCAATAATGCGCCGTGACCTTGCCATGAACGAAAGTCAACATTTCTTTCCAACGGAAGGGAGCAGAACGGCAGTCGCCTCATCATCTTGGCCAAAAACACGCCAACCACGTGAAAAACCCTTCTCAGGCATGCTCGCCTCCCCGCCCACGGAGTCATACCCTACTTTAGCCGGCGAAAAAATTCGTCCACCGACGGCACGAACGCCACGCCACTGGAAGGTGTGTCGCAGTGGGGCACTCTCCTGAAGGGGACACTCACCTCGTCGATGTCTTCCGTTCCGACGATGACGTCATCGCCCGCCGCGTGCTGGCTCGAGTCCAGAGAAGGTTCCGGACCAACGACGGCGGCGCTCTTCCTGCTAAACCCGCCGCCGCCGCCGCCGCCGCCGCCGCCGCCGCCGCCGCCGCCGTCGCTGCTGCTGCTGCTGTCGGTGTTGCTGGTGGTAGTGGCGGTGGAGCTGCTGCCGCTGTCCGCTGCTTCCTGCTTGGTCGCCCCCGCTCCCGCCGTCGACTCGCCCCCGTCTGTAGAGCCGAGACCGACCCCCGAACGGCCAGGAATCTTGAACTTGTGCTCCACGTGGGCGATCCGGCTTGCTTCCACGCCGCAAGCGCTGAGGCCGCCCATGAAGAAGGAGTCCTCTAGCCCCAGCGGGGTGGCGATTTCGTCACGAACGAACTACTTGTGCGCCGATGTCAGGACAGAGAACGCGAGGGTTTGGGGGGGGGGAGAAAATCGCTCAAAACCATGAAGGCTGCAGAGGTCGTAAAATTCGCTCGAGATCTTGGCTAAAGTTATTGTACAAAACTGTGAAGGTGAAGCGCGTTGGGTTTCCAGGATGAGGTTTGCGTGTCGGGGTGTGTTGTTACTTGACACCGACCGCCCTAGCCGACAGACCTACCAAAAGGCGCCAGTCAGTCAGTCATTCAATGCATAGCGCGGCAAAACAACGTGGAGATTTCATGTGCGCGTGCGTAGATGGGGGGGATAATCATCTTGTGGGGAGAGGGGGAGGAACACTCATTGACATCTCCTTGTCCACGCAGAAAGAAACCTCTCACAAAAACACCGCGAGACCGCCGTGTATCATAGTGGATTCTCCTGCGCCAAAGTATATCATTCGCCACCGTTCCTCGAGCTCCAATTAATGCTATAGTTCAACAACGTTCAGACCGCAAAGAAGAACCCTTCCGCCCCCGCCGTAGCTTTCAAGCCATGCATACCGTGCCAGTAAAATAGGATCGATATCATAGAAAAATGCGGATATATGAGAATGATTTTGGCTCGTGACGCCTTCTCGTTGCGCTTCGGAAAACAACAACTCACACATGCGACCGACGGACCTCTCGAACCCACCTTTCCGAAGGGGACGCCGGCGACCCTCTCGACCACAGCCGCCACCAGCCAGCCGAACGTGAAGTAGTGGTACGAGGCACGGGACCCCGGGGGCCACGCAGGATGCGCATCTTCGAGGGTCCTCTGGACCTCGCCCCAGTCGCAGACCTTGTCGAACGTCGCCTTGTCGGGAAAGGCATGCTGCAGTCCGGTCGAGTGCGTAAGCACGTGGCGCACCTGACACGAAAATAAGAGGTCAAATTCAATCCGGGATTAGTTAGAAAGGGCGATGGTTATATCTCGAAAGGGTACAATAGTCTTTCTTTTGATTGGATATTTCCGAAAAAGAAGGGTTTTCGTGCAAGTACGGCGAAGATCGGGGGAACCGGCGACGGTAACAGGTTCTCGCACGCCGGAGCCCAAACAAACGCATAACAAACACCGCGCACGCGCGCATGTACCCCTGGCCCGATCGATCCATGCAACTCCAAGAAAAGAAAAAAAAAATACCCCTAGTCCACATCGTGTCACCGACGAAACAAGCCGGCCACTCTCTCGGGTGTACACGGTGTCGGGCGTGGGCAACGGATTTCTGGACTGCTGCACCCGACTAGGCATGAGCCGACTACCCAACCAACTCCTCCTCTTTCCCGAACCGCCTTCGCGATAATTTTATTAATATTCGAAGTATACAAATAGAGAGCGGGGTTTCGTGCCCCTATCCCCAACCCTAACCCCCAATCCTCCTACCTTAAACCTTAAATTTACATTGAGTCCCCAAAACTGAAAACTAAATAGAACCCCAAAACTGGAAAACTGAAAATACCTAAAACTGAAAAGAGTAAAAAATGCCCCAAAACTGAAAACTGAAAAAAAAAAAAAAACGAAAAGTAAAAACAAAACACACCCATCAGATGCTGTACCCTCGCCAAGGCTACAACGCAACCTTCTTCCTCACCGTGGTGGTGAGCTTCCCGTTGCTCGCGAACTCCGGCCACAGCTCCGAGAGCCGCTGGTCGTAGCGCAGCAGGCCGCGGTCCGCCAGGAGGTGCACGGCGGTGGAGCACACGGCCTTGCCGGCGCTGAATACACAGAAGAGGGTCGAGGGTCGGACCGGGCGGGGGTCCACCGGCCCCTGCGTCCCGGCGCAGAGGTCGACGAGAGTCTGGCCCCTGTAGATCACGCACACCTGTCGTGGATGGAACGAAGAGAGAGCGAGCGAGAAGGAGAGAGGAGGACACAGGGAGAGACGGAGACAGGGACAGATGGGGGCAGAGTTGGGAAGAGACAGAGAGAGAAGACAGACATGCAGACAGAGATACACAAGAGAAATAGAGAGAGATATAGGAAGGGTTGGTTGGGAAGAGAGAAGCCGAGAGAGAGATACGACGGCGAGACACGTCAGGAGAAGGACAGGGGAGGAGGAATCGTGCGGGGGGTGAGATTGCTTGAGGGGGGGCACTTCACTCAGCTGCTTCTCCTTTGAAAACGAACGCGGTGCAATGAAAACACTTTCGGGTGGTTCCTCCGCAGCTGCCCACGTCTTCCTGTCGATACGACACGAAACCAACAACATTAACAGCCAACAACAGTAATAGCTATTAATAGCCTACCTATATTCGAAGTCTCCTCAACTAAGGTGCTCCAACACCGACAGGGGCATCACCGCATCATGTCGCTCCGTTCGACACCACACAAACAAGACCACCACCAAAACAAATCATCCGGGGTGGGTACGAAATAAAATTGTAGCGGGTGCGTCGGGCGGCAGCATCATAGAGGGAGACACGGGACTCTACCTGCCGCCTACACGTCATTGGGGCGGAACAACTCCGGTGAGGCCTTCTCATCAACCTCACCCGCATGAGAGCTTCTGCTGAGGGTTAACAAGCTTCACCGAAAACTGGTCGACTTTGACGGAGAGCAAAAAAAAGTAACCCTTGCGAACACCAATACAAGCACAGGGCATCGGGGCAGGACGTTTTGACAGCAGGAACCCATACGAAGTTGGTACCAACGCAAGCAAGGGGGGAATCGGCGCAGGACGTGTTGACAGAACCCTTGCTCCCTGCTCACCTGGCATCCCGTGATCTGACCTCGATCGACGAGGACTTCTAGCAGCTTGCGCACTTTGATTTCTAGGAGGGAGAGCACCGGGGAAGGGAACACGGCTTGCGTCGCACGCTCCTCCACGGGCACCATCTCGCGAAGAGCCTGAAAGTAAATGAAGAGACGGCGACGAAAGGACCATGGCCGGCCGCATTGTTGGCGAAAAAATGAACGTGATGCTACAGGCTCAAGATCAAGGAAAATGGAACAGTGGTTTGTTCAAGGTGTCGAGTAGATGCAGGTCAAGCTGTTTTTGCTTCCAGCGGGACGCGGGACGTATGTGTGAATGTTTCCGCGCTTATGAAGAAAATATGCTTCTACGTGCGCGCACAAGACGATGCTCCCGCACGAAGGCGGGGTTGCCTGGCGGTCGGTGGCTTGGTTGAAATGCTTGACAGGTCTTACTTACTAGGTCGCTGTGCGCGCCTCCTGGCACTCGCGAGCACACCCGTGCCTACCCCAGAAAGTAAAGACGGAGAGAAACGGTTCGCCCATCATTAGGTCCAGTTGCACACCACGGTGCAAAGGCAATTGGCCGGGATAAAGGCGGAACCGAACAAAGGCAACGTGAAACAACCCCAAACCCCGCCAACACATACACATGCATACATACATACATCACTTGCAAATAACAGAAGCGCCTTCATGGCGACTACATGTAGCTGAGTACATGGCAAAGACGATTGTGTCAAACCAAATGAAACAAACCAAAAAAAATGTGTTCTCTTGGACAAAGAGCATTGAATGCAGGCTGGGGGTCGATCTGACCCCAGTCTAGTCGTCTACCAATCGAACAGTCTCCGAGATCGGGATCGAAAATATCTCAAGTGGCTATGCATATTTGATTTTCATTCGTGGATGATTGATTGGGCGTCATCCCGGGGGGGGGCCAACGTGAATAACACGATCGATGTTGGCAAACAGCACCCTCCCTCCCTTGCCTTCGACAGAGAGAACCGCTAGTCATCCCCGGGGTTTTCCCTCCAAAACCGGACAGCAACTACGGCAGGGATTGAGATCGACCACAGATACCATTACAAGCTCGTAAAGAGAAAAAGAGAAAATCAAAAAATCGTCATAATGGTTGTATATTACTCCCGCCGCCGCCTGACAGCGAGAATCAGAGATGCCGATCGAATGTTGGTCCCGACAAGCGGCTGGTCCCTGCATCAATAATAACACGAGAGACAACACGAGAGCACCATCAACACAGGCGAGGCGGTCTGCACATGCCGCCTTCCTCCTCACCGGCAGCAGAAAAATTTCATGACAAGAAGGAAGAAAAACAAGCACGGAGCAAGCCTGGCACGCTCACCTTCGTCGCGTAGGGGGCCATGATGTCCATGTACCTTTGTCGCACTTGCAGCCGTGCAGCCAGTCCCCTCAGGAGAACGTGCACGCGCAAGAAGAAGAGCAGCTCGCCTAGAGCAAAAGCAACACATGCACACACCACACACAAAAAAAAAAAGACCACAGCCGCATGTATCCCAAAAAGGGAGAGAGGCAGAGCGGGGCGCGTTCAATGTCGAAGAGGGACGATGTAGCCGCATGGGGCCACAAAACAGCAGTGCTCAGGTTGTGGGGCAGTTTCGATGTAACGGGCAAGCGACAAGTACAGCAGGGATATGGGATAAAAGGATAAAGGTAGCTATTGTATGCATACGGAAGTCGCACGCGGCAATCAAGCTGGAAGCACACGGCATCGCCAGTGATTGCATCAATTTATCGAAAAAAAACAAAACGAAACCAGATAATCTGAAAAAAACAAACCTTATCCTAGCAAACGAGAACGCAACACCGGAATCCCCCCCCTCCCCCCCCCACCGGGATAGGCGTCGACGGGGTTCTTGAGCCCCCTGCCCCTCTTCTTCGCGATCCTCCTGTGGAACTGCACGACGTCTTTCTTGGCTTCGGACGCCGGCTGCGTGTCGCGAAGCAGGAAGCGGATGTTGTGCATGTCTTCGGCGGGGTCGAATCGGTTCAGCTTGATGCCGATCTCCTCGAACGCGATGAGCATGGACACGAAGTCGTGCTCGCAACCGGCGTAGATGAACCTGGGGGGGAGCCGCGGAGCAGACCGGCGCAAACGTCAGCACCATGCAGAAAGAAACCCGGGGCGTACTCATGTCTTACGTGTCTTAGCTGCTAGGCCATTGACCACGCGTCCTCGAGAGGACTGAGCATTGTTCCCACCGGGCCGATCACCGGAAGGGGGGGGTGGGGGTGAATAGACATGGAAAACCTGGTGGTAACAGAGTAAATTTACATCGCAGGCACGTTCCAGGACCAGAACAGCCAACTGCTCTTGACAACTGGGGACAAAAACAACTCGTAACCAGTAACCAGGAGCAGCAACAGTGCACGTGACAGGCGAGGACGCGTTGCGGGAGTAAACCATGACAGCGGCCCTGGTAGATAGATAGCAGAGGGGGGAAGCAGGGTGCATTCACTTTCTCGTACGGCTCGTCTGTGGACTATTACGTGCACGCTGCCCCTTTCGGTCGTCACGAAGCAGTGAAACCAATTACCGCACGGCTCCCGGGACTACTCCCAGCACCGTTCCTATTCGGAACAAGGACGAAGGACTACAATGAACGACGTACCGGCTGAAAGCGATCCTGAGATGGTCTGGAAGCGTCTTAGCGAGTCCCCAGTCTAGCAGCACAGGCACAGCTGCCCTGGACCCCCGGCCGCGCTTCCCACCAGATTTCGACGATGACGCCGCCGGTTGCAAGAGGATGTTGCCTGGACAGGACAGACAAGCGTGGCGAGGACATTTTCGGCGGTTTTACTCACCGGCATGTCTGTCTGGGCTACCAAGAAACAGAGCGACGCATTGAAGTTTAATTATTTTTGCAAAGTTAAGAAATAACCCACTTCTTCTACACAGAAACTGTGCGGTGCCAAATTTTGCGTTCAATTCATTGCAATCTGCAGGAGCGGAAGCAAACTGACAGCCGCCGTCGTGACAGACAGGCACCAAGCGCGTTGCCTTTGCCCGTAACCGGCCAACCAACAGACCAACCTGGAACCGCTTGAGTTTCATGCTATATCCCCTCCCTCCCAAGGATGGCGCGTTCTGTTCCGACTCACTACTTTCGTCAGTTCACACACGAGGGAGTCTATATGCGAGAGTTCAGAAGCTTCACACGGGCGTTACAATCGAAGGCACGCACCGCAGGAGGGGTGGAGGGGGGGGGAACCCTTCTGTATGGCCCCGGATTTGAGCTCAAAATCGGCAGAAATACTACTGCAAGCTGTGAGCGCCGATGCGAAGTGATGAAAAAAAGTAATCGTTGACATACACGATTTTCGTGCTTCGCCGACGGAAAAAATGTACGTGTAGTTTGCATACTGTGCATACCTGGGTGCGGGTCTCCGTTGAAGAGGCCGTCGATGTGAATCTGCTCCATTCCGAACACAAAGGTATGTGGGAACATGGGACATGAAGAGGGGGGGCACGGCGAACAAAAAACGTGTCAGCATTCTTCGTCTCTTTCCTTGCCTCCCTCTCTCACACACCTTCGCTCCCTCGTTTCTCTGACATCTTGGCGTGGGTTGTCTCCTGCTGAAACAAAATGGAAAACATACGTGTTCCGCGCCCGACCAACACAAGCATGGGGAAGAAGGCGAAGAGAGCCCACGTGCGATATATTCTCGACTCGTTTGTTCGACTCGAATCCCCTGAAAACATGTATGCCTTTGTTTCCTCCGAAAATTCGGGAAAACAAAGAAAACGAACAAAACAAAAAACACCATTCATCCAGAACAATCCAATCCCTTTGGTACACGCTTGTCAACAAAAACACACCACCCACGTGTAAACATTTCCAAAGAAAGGGCTTCAAAAACATCACAATCCGCCGACCGACACCCATCTCCTTCCCTGGCTTAGGAAGCGCTTAGGAAGCGAAATCGGTCACCTGGTATGCGAAGGACTCGGTCACCGATCGCATAACGGCCTCCCGGTCGATGTCCACGGCGGCGAGGGCCTTGGAATCAGTCACCTTGAAGCCCTCGCAAAAGGTCATCACCACCACCTGACGACGAAACCACGACACCACCAGAGACACCAGAGAAGAGTCAAGCGCTAGCCGAGGTTGGGGGGCACGGTGACGAGACCTACCGCATCGGTGTTCTGATCTTTGAATGGAAACGTGGCGCTTCAATTTGCAGCATCGACACCATGATCGTGTCGGAAACGTTACAGCAACCGCCTGGTTGGAAAGGTGCGGCGTAGTTCATGGGCGAGACAACCGCGCTACGCAATCGCCTGTTGATACGGTTCGCAACGGAATCACACACGTGAAGCGTCCTACACACTAAATCTACAACCACTTTTTCCCAGAGACATCGCAGCTACGCCGGACCCGGAACAATCCGACTCTACATAGCCTCGACCTCTCGCCAGCTACAACATCCTTTCCTTGTGCACCCCAGACAGATAAAAAAACTCGCCTTCATACGCGTGAACTCTGGGATCAACTCCGGCACGATGACGTCCAGCCCCGAGCGCTTCATTGCGGCGCCGATCCTGTGAAGATTCTTCGCCTCGCAGACGAAGTCAAGCTCCTTGTACGACTCCTTCGTCCACTCGTTCATGATCGGACTGGTGGCAGGGACAGACAGATAGACAGACAGAAGACAGAGAGAGAGACAGAGAGAGAGACAGAGAGACAGAGAGAGAGGGGGGCAGAGAGGACCGGAAAGCCGATAGGGGAGGCGTATTGGGGCGTCGCACCACCACACCGCTATCATCACCACTGGCAACAGAAGCAGGAGGTGCAGCGGAGCCATGGTTCCACAAAGGAAACAAGCGTATGGAGGCACACGCGCGAACTGGTATCTGTCTGCTGAAGCTACTGCTGCTGCTGTCTCTGCGGTGCAATCCTTAGTAGCAGCGCCAAACACTGACTTCAAGACCCATGGCCGCCCCTTGCAACGCCAAGCCTCCCTAAGACACTCTTGGAACACAAGAAAAAAGCCGCAATCCACAGCAGTACGAAAGGGCAAGCGCAACCAGCCCTCCGTTCAACACACCCACGGCATCGAGAAAACAACACACGCACTCTCACCGGAAGTCGTAGTCCTTCTCCGCCCAGGCAACCATCCTGACAAGGCGGCTGATGTTCCTCAGGTCCTCGAGAAACAACGTCCTCACTCGTCGGTGCTGAACCTGTTCACCAGGCGCAACACGGGTACGGTCCGAGAGCACGGCGGCAAAGAGAGAGCTGGAACTAACGCCAGCACGAGAGCTCAAAAACCCCACCCACAGTGTTCACCTTACTGTCCTCCAAGAAAGGCACGGTAAACCATCCGTATACCGTCTTGCGAAGAAAGGCCACACGCGCCATCCTACCCACTGTCCTCCTCGGCGATTCCACCGTCCACACGAAGGCACCGCCCTTTCCACTGCTGGCAGTCAGCAGGCACCCTGTGCAGAGCGTACCACACCACACGGGCGGTGCGACTGCTCCCCTCGATACACCCGTGGTCGGCACACTACGCGGGCGGTCGCTCGCTTGCCGGCAGGCACACACACATACGCACGCACCTTGATGACAGCCTCTCGCCCGTCCTTAAGCTTGCACCGGTGGACCTGCGCGACCGAGGCGCTGGCGAGGGCCTCCCGGTCTATCGTCGCGAAGAGCTCCGCCAGAGGGCGGCCCAGCTGCTCCCTGACGGTTTCGTCCACCTCCTCGAACGGGGACGCCGGCACGGCATCCTGAAGCTTGGACCTGCGCTCGCACCCCGAGTGGCGGACGGCCGCGAAAACACGCACGCGGTGATAACGAAAACGCGGCCCCAAAGAGGGTGATTAGCGGACGACCGCCGAATGCTCATACGTGCTACTGTACCCAACTAATGACAGCTTCGCGGACAGAGACCGTTTGCAACACGCCAGGGGGGAATGCGCAGCAAACAAAGACGAGAACGAAACATGGGCCTACATATCTAATGCATGCGCCAACACAATTCGATGCACCCATGTCTTAAACCGATTCTTCCTTCCCGACTGCGGGTGAGAGACCGAAAATAAACTCACAGCTCGTCAAGGTACGGCTGGGGCATGACATCCGCCCGCGAGCTCAGATACTGTCCGGTCTTGACCCACATCCCCGCCACATCAAGGATGCTCTGGTAGACGAACGGCGCAAGCAGCTTGTGCACGTCCGCCCACGTGTCATCAGACTCGTCGGAACTCATGCCCTACACATGTAGCCGCAGGAGCGGGCATGGAAGGGCGAAGGGTTTGCGAGGGGTGAAACAAAACGCTGGATGAGATGACAAGAGGGCGTGCTGACAGGGACAGGAACGGTGACCAGAGCACGGGGACACCACAACTGTTTTTCCACAAAACGCTGCATATGCTACCGGGTACTAACGCAAACACCATGGTATCCTCCATTTCATACATGTCACGAAATGAAACAGGACAGGAAAAATTTCCACGGCCCAGGCCACACATATTGCAGCCGACTCAATTATGGCTATGAGTGCCCCGCCCACGGAAGGAAATTTTACTCCCACGCGTTTGTCTCCGCGTCGCTCCTCATCTACTCTTGTGGGCTCGTAGCAGTTTTGGTGAGTGGGATTGACGAGCAGAGTAGCGTCGCACCTGCGTGAGCGTCTTGGTCATCTTGAGGGCAAAGATAGCTGTCCCCGCGAGACAGAACGTCTTCACTCGCCGCAGGATCAGCCCCTCCGACCTCCGCTGGTGCACAATCAGGCACACCACCACCAACGCCATGACCGCCCAGTACAACGACATCGAAAGGCGCAGCTTGCCGCTGGGAAGAGCGGACCCGGGCTCGTCATCTTGCTGAGGCCTCTGCTGACCCTTGCTCTCAGGCGGCCGCCGCTGCTGGGCGAAGAGCGCGAAAGCGGGGAAGGGGGGCACGCCAAGCGGAACGTTACGCCACGTGAATCGACGACGATTCCTCCGCTTCACACAGCTATCTCCGTCCGCGAGCGAAACGAGCGCTCTACGCAACCTCACCTTGCCGGCATCACGATCTTATTTCCTGCTACTGCTGTAAGGTAGACATTGCTTGCTCGCTTTCCGGCCACGACGGAAGAAACCAACACACGCAGATCCCCTGGCCGAAGGCTGGGGAAACAAGCATAAAACACTTGACAACGTCCGGTGTACACGCGCGCGCACCTTCCCCTTCTCTTCTGGCATCGCCCACGACCCCTTGCTTCTGCCCCCTGCTGCCGCCGCCGCCGCTGCTGTTGCCGCTGCAGCGGACGCCGCTGCCGTTGCCGCTGCTGCGGCCGCTGCTGCCGCATCTTCCAGCGACCTAACACCGCCGCCGTCCTTGGCCTCGGCGACGCACGTATCGCCCTCGGCGCACGTGGTGGGCGAGACCCTCACCCCAACCCCGGCATCACCGCCTTTTCCCCTCGCAACGGTAGCCTCCTTACCCCTGCCGGCGGCGGCGGCGGCGGCGGCGGCGGCATCACTGCCCTCCCCTTGGACCTCGGGGGCGGAAGCGGTGGCGTTGCTGGCGGGCAACAACGCTTCCGCCGCGTGGGAGAACGCAAGCCCTGCGGCACCCCCCACCGCGGAAGCGAGCCTTGCCCCTCTCGCACCCACAGCCGACAGCGCGGAGACGTCGACAGTGACCTGTGTGCGGGTGTGTGTGTGTGTGTTTGAGTGCGACCGGTCGACCGGCCGCAAAAAAAAAGAAGGGTCAAATGGTGCTGTTGTCACTGCTGTGATGCTGTTGTCACTGACTGTCCTTTTCGGCACAGGCTTTACACACGTTTAGTTGCCCAGCGGACGAAAATTGAGAGAGATTGCAATATTCTGTGGTTCCCTAGGACGCAGGGTAAGCACTATAATAGCAAGCAGATGGGCACCGGGCTGCATTTGATCAACGGTCCCCCGTCCCCTGACATGAGTTCACGCACACGTCTTCCCTCGAAAAGAGCAAAAACAGCCTGAAAACAGTGACGGTAATATACCCGATAGAACGGGAAGAGTCTCTGGGGAGCTGAAAACCATGTCGTATCTAGTGAGCGTCATGTCTAAAACTGCAGTAAGTGCGCAACAGCAACTTGCCTCAAAAAGTTTCGGTCCGAACTGTCTCGACAACAGAGTCGCCGAGAGGTGAGCGCTCAAGAGCACCATCGCCAACAGCCCCAGGGAAATTAGCCGGTACACCATCAGCACCAGGTGGCGAAGCACCCGCGCTCTAGCCGAGAAGGCACGCTTGTCGATGTGGTCAATCTACGTCATGCATGAGGAAATCCATTCACGGTAGCACCGGAGGGAGCGGGAGGAAGGGCAGAGGGTCGTTATCTGTGACTTCCGGACGATCATTCTTCGCACGGCACGTGTGGTAAGTGATGGAAGGGGGCGCTGGGGGGGGGCGTCCTCTTGTTAAACGATGAGGGATTGCCTCGTACGACGCAGACGAGCTTGATTGCCCCACGGCTGGAGGAGGGGGGTACCGTTGGAACATTGTCCATGTTTCACTCCCCCCTCCGTGCATTGCCACATTGCTGCTTGGCGCGAGGGTCCGGAAAACACCCTCATCTGGGGTGTTCTGCAGGACCTTTTACCCCTATTGAAGAGGCATTTCGGACCTACAACTGCTGTTCGTGTTAGTACTGCCTTCGAGAGATGGACGTCTGAGCGATTTGCAGACCGAACAGCACTTCTCTGTATGTTCATCCCCCCGACATGTTTCGCCCGCGGTCCGTCGATTTAACGGGAGGAAACATCTGTGCTGCCAAAGATGGAACTGAGCACACGAAAGCTAGCGTACGGAGAGCACCCAAGCTCGAGTAGACCGCGGGCAACCTCCGCCCTGCAACAGAAAAGAAGGCGCTTGCTTGGTCTCCTGCGCAGTCCAGCCCCTCGATCACCCGTCCACTATCTACCAAGCTCAAAGTGGCAGCAGGACGCCTCGGGGCGGAGGGGGCGGGGGTGTAGTCATAGTCGTGCATGCCGTAGTCGTTAGACCATTGACCTTGCATTCCTACAAAGCCGGGACGGAGCACGCCGGGTTCTCACCGGACCAGCCTGAGGGGGGGGCTGCCCACAGCAGCCGCAACAACAACAACAGCCACGCATCACGTTACCGCACCCATCCGCTCGGCCTCCACGCACCTCCTCCTCCAACTCCAGCACGCGGGTCTGCAGCTCCCTTGCTGCTTCCCCCTCCTTCTCATCCTGCTGCTGCAGCTTCTGGTGGTTTCGCCGGAAGCCCCCCGCGTCTTCCGCCAGGTTCGCCGAAGGCTTCTGTCCCATGCGAAACGGAGAGACCATTAAAACCATACGCCGTTGATGGCGAGGGCAGGGACTAGTTGATGGCGTGGGACTGCAGCTTTGGGATTAGATATCGGCGGCTGTTGGCAGGCACAGTCTGTGGGGTTATTGTGTACTGTAGCTAACGCACACTGCAACCAAACGGCTGCTGTGACGGCTGCGAAACACTTGTCCGCCTACATGGCCTTGAAAGCTTGCCAATGGCTACGTGAGACAACAGCAGTGGCAGCGTTGAGGACTTAATCATTTGGCCTTTCGCTCACCTCAGTAGCGACCGGATCGGTGCGGGAGAGGCAAGACTCGCAAGCCCTCTGCCCGTCAACCTTGGCAGCGCTGCAGTCTTCGCAAACAACTCGGCCGCAAAAGCGGCAGTGGTGGCGCCAGCGGAGCACCTTGACGGACACAGCATCAAAACACCGGCGTCCAAAGTGCGGAGGGGGGGGAAACGTTTGGTTGCCAGGACCCGCTAGGATGTCTCAATCAGGGTGCATGCCATCAGGGTGCATACCAAGCGCCACCTGCACTTCGTCTATAATAGCTCCTTGGAGAGGATGAAACCCCTTGCGTGACGGAACCTCGGGTGTTTTCCGTCAACGTGTACGTTTACGCACCCCCTGCTTGTGCCATCCGCAACAGCACCTACTCCTGATGGGGCCGGACCCCAATATATGCCCTGCAGTGCAGCGCGTCATGCCGGTGCAACTGCTGCTGCTGCTGCTGCTGAGGGGGAAATAGTTCCATCCACTCGTAGAGGTCGGCGAACATGTCTGGATGGTTACGTTTGACGTGTCGCGTGGAAAATAAAATGGCCACGCGTGACGTCATGTCATCAGCCGAGTACTGCCAAAGGCGACGCGGGAATGAATATTGTACATGCGAACCCGAACCCACCGTGAAATCCCTTCGGCAGACAACACACCGCTTGGCGTCCTCGTCTTTCTCCCACTTGCCCTTGTCGACTGCCTGCAGCCTATCGGGGGAGGCGGATTCTAGCGCCATAGCCTTCCGTATCCAATGGCCGAGCTTGATGCCAAGGCTCATCTCTCCCCGAAACTTGAGCTTGCCGGTTAGCAAGGCCGCGCGGGGACCTATGCGCCTTCCGCAGGTTGGGGGGGGGGAGAACATGTTCAGAGGCGGGCAGTCGGAATATCTTTAAGCGAGAAATCGGAGACTGGGTTGTGGGCGTCGCAGGAGTGCAGCTCGGGGAGAAGACCACCCCTCTCACACGTTCATCGCCCTTTTGTGTACCAATGTCCTTGGCCAGAAACTTGCAAACCTCACCACCGCCGGCATAAGTACTTGCCTACACCGTCTCTTTCAACACACCCTGCAGCAGCAGCAGCAGCAGCAGCAGCAGCAGCAGCAGTTTAGCGTAGGCTGGTAGGTCGTGACTTGACAGTATTGCCGGTTGGATAGCAGTGGCCTTGGTCCCGAAATTCTTCCTCTTTCTCGCACACCGGACCAACTCCGTCCCTCCGACGACCGACGGCACAACAACGCACATCGCTCCGACCCAGCATCGACACCCGCAACGTGTAAACAAAACGTAAACACACGAAAATACAATACAGCATCCTATAGTACCTACCTAAAGCAGTAGCGATTTCGAAAAAAATGATTTGACCCTCCTAGTAAGCCTATTTACCACACCGTCGTCACCCTATAATAGGCTCCGCTGTGTGAAACGCACGTGAAAACTCTTGGTCTATCATGCTTGGCTGAGGGGGTACGCTGTATGATATGCTGTGTGATGCCTCTCCTACGCCTCTGACTTGCTGTACACCATCTCCCAAGCCGCGTGCCCCCTAGGTCGAAAAACTGTGCATCGCCTGGTACTGAAAAAAAAAAATTGCTGACTTGGCTTCAGAATGAACAGTGTCCCCACGTGTTTTGGGGGCACTTTTCATACTGAACCCAAGTCACCCTTTGTCTGGCAAGGAGCTTAGATTCTTTGGAGGGACTGTAGCCCCTCGACCAATGGCTGACAAACATTTTTGCCCGCTTTTTTTGCGGAGGGGCTGGATACTACTGCAGTAGGAGGGTTAACATCGCCGAAAAGACTGGTACCCGTTGGACTTATTCCCATGTGAAGTATTTGAAGTCTTTCAGCAGCAGTAGTGAGGGGTTAGTGACACCTGCTGGCAGTGTTAGGAGATTAGATTGCGCCGCATTATTTTGTTGGCCGGGTACACGAAACCCAAATTTTGCAACGCCTGACAGTTTTCCATCAAATGACTGGAGCGTACAACGGAGGACACCCTTGCGCGGAAAGAGACTGGGCACCTCGCCCCAGAGCAAAGCCAACGAAGAAAAGAGACTTGACAGCTGCGATCTACTAATGGTGATACCAAAGCATGTCATCCTCTCAGGAGGTCGCGATCCGACCTTCCCAATAGAGATCGGTGTCGCCAACTATGATATATGGAAAATGAAGCACGCGACATTCTACGTAGAACGCAGAAGATCAAACATCTCGCCGCCACGCGACACCGTAACAGGCCCACACTCTCTGTGTCAGATGAAACCCGCGACGGGCAAATCTCTGAATTCTCCATCCACAGACCTCCAACGGGAGTTATGGCGGGTGCTACATGTATAGAAAACCCACAACCTTAGCTTCTTGTATCACCAGCAGTTCTCAGTCCAAACCGACCTCCCCACTACGGCCACGCCATCAAGTACACAGGGGTTGGACCGGTTGAAGCTCTGGGCAGGTCGGCCGTCGGGGCGTTACAACACACCCGCACCGACTATTAACGGCGACGTGAAACCACCAATAATACCACCTGTGGTGTACGTACAGGCACGCGTCGCGCTTTTTCGATGGCAATGTTGGACTGTATGGGCTGCAGAGACGCGTTGTGGAAGGTCTGCGCCGACCGGTGGTTGGGGGGGGGGGGGGGGGGTGCGGGAGGAAGTTTCCCCCCCAAAGGGACCCCCGAATTTCTCTTTTTCCCTCATGGTTTTTAAAAAAAAATGGGAACCTTTTGGACCAAAAAAATCCCCCCCCCCCCGCATTTCCCCCTTTTTTCCCCCCAAAAAAAACTGAAAACCCAAATTTTTCTTCCCTGTTTTATT